GTTCTTTAGAGGGTGCTATTGCCATACTTCCCTTGACAAATAAATCGATAAATTACTTTTTAACCCCCAAATTAGTAGAATTAGAGAAACAACCATCTTACTTTATAGTTTATTTCAATAACACCATTTTCTTCAACCTCCACATCATCCCCATCTCTAATCACCTAACCCACTGCCACTGCCACCACCACCCAGCCACTATCACCATCTAGCCAAATTAATAAAATTTCAGAAAAATCCTATACATCTCAAATTCATTCACCAACACCCTCTTCAATCCAAACCCACCCAACCTTCTAAATTTTCTTTCAATCCAAACAGTTTGTGTAAGCGGCCTTTTGTCGAACAGGTGGTCTGCAGGTTGGAAACGGTAAAAGATGAGGGCAGTGGGCGTGGTCAGCGACCGTTGAACATAAACACACAAACAACAACACAAAACTTCCAAAATCAAGCTTCGGGAAACCAAGCTTCGACAATCGACTCTAGCAACCAAAACACAAGCTCTATGAAACCAAGGGTGGGTAGTAGAGATCGATCAGTGAGCAATCATCGTTCGATGAGATAGGGGATCTATTAGGGAGATGTCGATGGTGTTGATGATGGGGGCGGGTGGAGTTTTTGGCATCGGGAGTAGCCAAAATCTGGCTAGGAAGCGAGAGGTCACGCGAACACAAACCTAGCGGCAGCCGAAAAATTTGGCTAGGGTAGTCAGGTGGGGAATATAGGGGGTTTGGTATGGAGGGGACGAAGTAGCTGATGGTGGCGGTGGCGGGGTCCAACGATGCTAGAATCAGGATAGTTGGCCTAAAGGCGATAGTCGCTTGGGTGGGGTTACGAGGATGGTGAAATTCCGACCAAAATTGGGCAATTAGGCTAGGAAAATGTTTGATTTGGGGTTTAGGGTGATGAACCATGTCGATTTGTGTGAGAAATTCGACAATGATCCACGGAAAAAGGCCGGTGATAGCGTCAGCAATGGTGGTGAGTTGAGAGAAACGAGAGGTTGTGACTAAGGGAGCGTCAAGTGCAAATGACTACTTTACCCTTTGATCGTTACATTAAACAATTTTCTATTAATTTAAGGGTGTGAATCTAGAATTTATGAAACCAGGGGTGTGAACTTGCTATTTCGCGGAACCTTGGGTGGGAACATGTTTACTTTTATAAATAAACCCACATTTAGAAGAGCTTTTTATTTACTTTGGGATCCAACATCAAATGCAAGATTTAATAAACAGTGTCATTCTATAAACATATAAGAGGTTTTCTCCCTCTGTTTCATCAAGAAAAAATATTAGAAATTTATTATGTATTGAATTAAAATGTTAAATAAATATATAAAATTATCAAATCAATTTCTAGAGATATAAGCCCTAATTATAAGATGGCATTACAATTGTATTAGAAGTAAAGTTACTTGTAACACTTATAAGATCTTATTACAATTGTATTATGGGTAAAGTTACTTGTACATAAGTTGACATATAATTTATGGGACTTGGTGAAAAGTGCATAAAATGAAAGATTAAAATGCAAATCATTATAAAGCACAAGTACATGTTGTGTAATATATTGAGCATTATAAGTTAGAATTGGAGGGTTCATATTTCTTTGTCCAAGCCTATTGGAGGGTTCATATTTCTTTGTCCAAATCTAATATGTGTGGCTATTGTAAGACTTGGAAAAGGCTATGGTTCAACCAACATTTTTGTTGATCTTGATATTTTCTAACTTTGAAAGTCTTAATACATCTTATATTTATATAATTAATACTATAAAAAAATGTCCACCCATAATTTACAAGCATAATTATGTCAACCCCCAATGCCTTAACTTTTCTTTATTATGCATAATTGGGTCATCGGAATCTTGTGGCTTTCTTAATTTCACCAACCATTAATGCCACCAAATATTATGGATCTTGATTCCCTTGTATTACTGTATTTAACAAGTATTTGAATCTGATCGCCAATAAAACAATCGAAAAGTTACGTCCACGTGTTAATTTCTTGCTTTGTGTAAACATAGTGGCAACCACTCTTGAGCTCAATTAAATATATATTGGGTTTTGGTTTTCTTTTTGCAAAATTGTGTACACTAGGACTCCACCTTAGTAAAGCCACATTCTATCATAATTTCTAAATTCTATTTACAAGCACCTTTTTTAAATTCAGAATATTAATAATTAGGTTTCATCCTTTTGTATTGATATGATTAAAAGCATGTTTAGACTGCCCTGCATTAGAGATAACGAAAAAGAACTAAATTTTCCTATATAATATTTGTTAGGTACAAAGTAATAAATCCATAGGCCAAAAAAATTGAAGAGCCCACGAGATTCAAACAATTAAGAGGAAACAACTTTCCTCAAAAAGAAAACCGGTCAAAGTGTTTGATCGAGCTCAAACATAAAGACCAAGGGAGTGTTTAGAAACCCGACCCATGCAATAACCCAGCTAGGCCACCGGGTCATGGCTCAAGCTGTTTAATTGGTTTGACTGGTTTGTCAAGCTTTTTAACTGGTTTGACTGGTGGGTCAAACTAGTCAAACCAGTGTCCAAAAGTTTGAAATCTAACAAAACCACCTCTAAAAATTACATGTAAGTCCCCATAGGTTTGAAATATTGCAAAACACCAAAAACACCATCGTTGGCATCGACAAATAGGGCCTGTTTCCGGCGACATCAACACTCCCCATCACCACGAAAACACTCCCCTCAGCCTCTTGACCAAAACCCATATCACCCCTCCCCCGTTCGCCTCCCCAGTCGTCAGCGACAACGAGTTTTTTCCAACGACATTGTTTTGCGATTTTCGGTCAATTTACTCACCAGAAATCAACGTCGTTGCCACCATTCCACTCATTGGCCATTCCTTTTCAAAAGCCCTAACATTCCAATCTTCAATTGGTCACAGATTAATGTCCTAATTTCTAGGGTTTTCGATGAATTGAAAATTTTGTAGCCTAACCTAGTAAAGGCGACAAGTCACGGTTGAACCGACTGGACCGGGCCGAATTCCTAATCACTGATCCAAGGTCAAAAGCCTGAATAATGAATAACGAGTCAGCTTCGACTCTAGGTTTAAGTCCAAATAATAACCTAGTAATCCAACATTTGAGGTTAATAAGGAATAATTACTAAAACTTTCTTTAAAGAGAAGTTGACACTTAGTTGAAGACATAGTAGAAAGTTACCTAATCTTCATTACCTACTACTCAACATTTATTTCCTACTACTTGGATGGGTACTTTACCTTCTTTTCTTAACTGTTACAAAACACAACATTTGTTACTTTGAACAATAAAGATTGACTCACAACCCAATCTTACAAATTTTCGCTCACAACTCTTATGTGGCAACTCGCAATTAATCAGTTTGCAATTAAAAATGCGAGACCCATTGCAAACTGACTAATTGTGAGTTATCACGTCAGAGTTATAAAAGAAAGTTTGTGAGATTAAGTTGTAATTGTAATATTGCCCTAATTAGAAAGCATGGCCATAGCCTCCAAGAACATGGCTATGCAATCACCAAGTGTCAAAGCTCTACAAATTGCAATGGGGCAAGCCGAAGGCAAAAGTTGTTCGATCATGCTATGATATTTTACTCACATACTTCATAAACCACCCTATAAAACTCTGATTAGTCGCTTGATACTTTCTTAACTACATATGGCTAACTTAAACATAGGAAAGTTCACGCTAACAACCCTATCAGCATTGTCTCTAACGCTAGAAACGGAATCAAGACTCAAATTTGGATGGAAAGCTATCGCTTCAAATGTTCGCTCTAACGTTCGTTATAAAAAATAATATTTATTTATAAATATGTTAGATAAGTATTATTTAATACTTCAATACTAATTAGTTATTGTAGTTTATTATGAGAAATTAAAAAAAGTTAAATCTAAATCTGAACCTAAAGCAAGACTCGGGATACGAGAACCTGGGCCGGTTATTTGAAAGCCAACCAGGCCTAGCCCAGGTTGGCCCGGCTTGATCCATCCTAAATCAAAATAAAAATGGAAATAGATATATATTAAGCTAATACATCTTTTTTACCTTGTTAAATTTTAATTTTTAAACTTCGGTCACTCATTTATTTTTATTGACTAAAAAAATAATAAAGTAAATTTCTTTTATTAGAACTCACTACAAACAGGTAGATAAATTAATTATTAAAAAGTAGGGGTATTCAAAACCGATTAACATATTTAATTTATATTTTATAATTTAATATTTTTAAATAAACCGGTTTCAACTAATCTTTTCCCATATTCTCGTAAACCAATAACCGAATCGAAAATCGGTTTTTGTATTTCTTTGAACCGAAACCAAACCGTTTTTTCAGATAATTGAAAAACCGGTTCAGTTATTGATTCAGTTTAGTTTTCTGCGTTTTTTTGAACACCCTTATTAAAAAGGGAAGTTTTATGAGATATTTGCTTGCAGATTTTCTTCTCGACAATATTTACCAAAATAAATCTTTTAGTTGAAAAAAACTTTTTTAATAATAAATATTTGTGTGATTATTTGAAACAATAAATATTGACTAATAACCTAATCTTACAAACTTTTTCTCACAACTTTAACTTGATAGTTCGTGATTGTTCAATTTGTAAATTGATAGGTTATACCCATATTGAATAGGAATGACCTATTTTGTGAGCTAATCATTAACTGTCATATTAAATTTGTGAGATAAAATTTTTAATATTAGATTATAAGTGTAGTATTGTCCTGTTTGAATATGAACATTGTTTTAGAAACCATTTTGTGATGGTGCTGTCTTTATGGTCTCAGAAACTGGGCTAACCTTGGGCTGGAATTGAGCATTACATGTCGGGCCAGGCCCAGGGCTACAAAGTCCGGCTCAAAAGAATATTTTCACCTCCCGCTCGATTTCAAAAACCAGAAGGCCAGTGAATTCAAATTAGATATATTTTCTGTGAAAAGCAAGGGAGAGCGATAAAGAGAGATTTTTTTTTTCTTTTTTAAAATGGCGGAAATAGAAGTGGAAGAGAAGCAATTGATGACGAATATAGCTAAAATCATAGACGAAATTCGAACATCGTTTGCCACTCACAACCGTAAGCTCAAAGAACTCCGAGCCGTCAGATCAAAATGTCCATCCGCGGCCCAATTCTTCTCCGCCTTCTCCAAAACCCTAATTCCCCTTTTCGGGGCCCAGCGACGTACCGCCTTGGCTGAGCGCGTGGTTAGGTTTGTTTCGGCCTTCGCCGTAAACAATAATGACGGATTTTTGGAGGACTTCTTCAAGTTCCTTTTGGTTGGCGCCGTGGCTGCCAACAAAACGGCTAGATTTCGAGCTTGCCAGATAATTTCTGAGGTATATAATTTCTCTTCTACTGTTTTTTTGGGTAAAATCGAATTACTGGGCCGGTTGGTATAGTTCTTACATAATTGGTTTTGTAATTTGATTTAAGCAGGATTAGAGTTTGTGGTTATTAAGCAAGAAAGAAATAAAGATAATGCCTGTTATTTGTATTTGAAAGAGTTTAGTAATTGAAGAAAAAATCTTATGTTATCGGTTTTTAATGTTCATTTATTGTTGGATTCTATTTTGGGTATTATTATTATTTTTAATCTATTAACTAGACTCTTTCATTCGCATTATTAGTTAATCCATTTTCATTTCTCATTGTAGATCATAATGCGATTGCCTGATGATACTGAAGTCAGTGATGAGGTCTTGGACGAGGTGATAGAATGCATGAAAGTAAGGGTGGGGGACAAGGTTCCTGTAATTCGTACATTTGCAATTAGGTCTCTTTCACGGTTTGTAAATGATTCGGACAACAGTGACATTCTTTATTTATTCCTTGAGCTGCTTCCCCTTGAACAGAATGCGGTGAGTAACAATCTTTATTTATTTCTTGCTCTCAAAAGGAAGTGATTCGATTCTAAGCTTAGACGAGTGCTTGTCATGTTGTTGTATTGGCATTTGTCTTGTTGATCGGTTTTAACTAACCCCTTTTCCTATCTGCATATAGCAACTGTTTAGACAGTCATTAAAAATGCTTGTACACATATATTTCTAAATTGTTCATGGATGTTGAGTCAAGATTTTCGCAAATTAATCACTATATCTGTGTCAGTGAACTATACTATGATGAGTACTGAATACTTGGATGAATTTCTTGAAGACTTTTTTATATTTATTTTGCAGATCCCTTGGTTCATTTATAGGATTTTTAGGTATGAATTTAATATTCGAATGGAGGAGTTAAAGAAATCTGGATAATATTACCTATACCATTTCAATAATTTCTTTAGTACTAGGAATTCAATTTTGTTGTACCAAGCATGTGAGTGGTTACCCCTTCAGAATTGTCCCATTCGAGGTGTTTTTTCTGTAAAAAAATTCATGAACTAAAATGAGGCAACTCACCTTGACCATAAGCTCAATGTGGTTTCAAATGTATCTGAAATTCTTATTGTTTCAATGGATCTCAAAGAGGTTTAAATACTATTCACAAAAGACTGGACTTTTTGCGCCACAGAGATGGATAGATTTAATCTTACCTTTGAATATTAAATGTTGTGCAAACCTACTGCTTCGTTACCCAGAAATCTTGTGATTTCAGGAGGTGAGAAAGGCAATTGTGTTATCATTGCCTCCTTCAAATGCAACTTCAAAAGCAATTGTCAGTTGTACCCTGGATGTTAGCGAGTCAGTGCGCAAAGCAGCATATCTTGTACTAGCTAATAAATTTCCTCTTCAAAGCCTCAGGTAAGTTCCATTTAAATGTATTTTGTTTGGTTGAAAAAGTGTACTTATACAGAGTAATGCCTCAAATATTAAACTACAAATATTAGAGTAGTACTTGAGCTAAGCATTAGACTATTTGTAATGTTAATTATTGCGGTTTGTTTGATTGTTGTTTTATGTTTCTTACGTTTTTTTTTTTTTTTTTTTTTCTGCTTCATCTGGTAGCATCAAGCTTAGAGCACTGATTCTTCAGAGAGGACTTGCTGATCGTTCTAAGCTGTTTCAAAGGAGTGTCTGAAATTATTGAAAGATCACTGGCTAGCCAGTCCTGCAATGGAAACCCTGTAGAACTTCTCAAGTATCTTGAGTTGAAACGTATGAGTTGGTTGGGGAGTCTTAATGCAGGTTCTTTTAAGAGCTGATTTAGTGAAAGTGAGTGATGGTGAAAGTATCAGGGAGTACATATCATCAGCCGGTGATGAAACTGAGGTTGGTAAAACTTTTGGATGAATCGCAGGCATTCTTAGTTCTTGTTGTCATTGGGTTTTACCCTTCTATAATTCCCAATATAATTTGCTTTAACTCAATCTTTTTTTTTTTTTTTTTTTTTTTTTTTTTTTTTTTTTCAAAGAATCACTGAAGTAAATAGAATTTTAAACCTATTGAAGTTGCCATACAAAGGCCTGAATTCAAGTCATGTAAAGGGATTTAAAATTCTTCATCGGGTGGCATTGGTTGGATCTAGTATATAATAGCCTTAGTTACCCTGAAGTTAGTTATTTGCATTCTTTCTTTTTCCAATGTCATGCATAATTTTTTTTATGCCCTAGAACAATATATGTTTGAATTGCTGTTGTAAATTTATGGAATGTATAGATATTATGTATCTGTGAAGTTTTTGACAATAGAATGAGTCAATGACAAATGTGTACTCCATATGTTTATGTATTGTCCTCCAATTCACCAAGTTTATTCTCATTTTCATCTGAAGTTAATCTGCATACCTCCATTGTTAATTCCCCTAAATAAATAATGGGGATTATGAGGTGCTTTTGCTAATTTTTTGTTTAAAAGATATCTGATTTTACAAGTGGATGGCTTATGTTACACTTTGGCTCCACAAAGCTGATACATTTTCAGCATCATGGCTTATGATCAAAACTCTAGACCAACTATCCTAATGTTTTCCTCTAGTGATGTTAGGTGACTCATCACATGACAACCAAAGGATCAAATTAATGGAACCTGAGGTTGCTCTTTATTGGAGGAGTCTGTGCAGGCACCTACAGGTGGAAGCACAGGTTAGTCTGTTCAACAACTCCATTTATGAATGTATTTTTTTTTTTTTCCTCCATTTCTTTTCTCCTTATGTTGCTGGAATGGTTGTTTGCTAAGTGAAAATGTGCTTGATTCCAGAGAATTCAACTCATATTTAAGTGAGTCCTTTCCTAATATTTTCAGTTTAACTTCTTAGGATTCAATTATTAAGTTAATATTTCTAGGGGATTAAGAGTTTTAATATGTGAATGTTGATGGCATGATTACAGTTACATAAAAAACTGATTTTTTGTTGCAAGAGAATTTAAGAGTTAAAACCTGTATGATGTGTCTAGAACACATGTATTTTCTTCACTTCTATACTTAGAATGTTCAAAATGTTAGTAGTTGGGACTGGGAAGACTATAGCATAAGAGGGGATTGGGCATAACCAATGGGAGCTAGAAAATTTAATAACTCTTGGAATAGAACAGAATAGTCCTCTTTGAAACATCTGAAATGTTTGTTAGACCTCTCATGCTTATGCTCTGTTATTGAATTTTCATGTTTGAAGTTGCATACAGTGAAATTTATACTTATATGAGAAAACATGTGACTGAACAGGCAAAAGGTTCCGAAGCTGCTGCTACATTGGGCACTGAAGCAGCAGTATACGCTGCTGAAGCTTCAGACAAACATGACCTTCTGGAAAGAATTCTTCCTGTAACGGTTTCTGATTATGTAGATTTGGTTAAAATTCATATAGATGCTGGTGGGTTAACTTCTTCTGATTGAAGAAAGACTAAATTCTGTATCAAAGTATGTTTTCTAATTTTACCTGATATTTCAGGACCAAATTATCGCTTTGCATCTAGGCAGTTACTGTTGCTTGGAGAGATGCTTGATTTTTCTGATTCCACAATCAGGAAGGTTGCTAGTGCATTTGTGCAAGACTTATTGCACAGGCCCCTGGAATATGAAATGGTTGAAGATGGGAACAAGTTTGTCATAGGAGATGGCATAAATCTTGGTGGTGACAAAGACTGGGCCAATGCAGTGTCCAGATTGGCAAGGAATGTCCATGCTGCTGCTGGTGAATTTGAAGAAGTTATTTTTGAGGTTGTAAAAGAGCTTGCTCAGCCCTGCAGGGAGAGAACTGCTGACTTTATGCAGTGGATGCACTGCCTTGCTGTGACTGGTCTTCTCTTGGAAAACATTAAGTCATTTCATTTGGTTCAAGGAAAGGCTACTGAATTTGCTGAACTTCTGAAATCTTTATTGCTTCCAGGGGTATGAAATTACATCTGTCACTGTTATTGATGATTTTATCTAAATATTCACACTGAAATTCTGTATGCCTATGTCAGATTGTCTTTGGCATAAGTGTTAAATTTTAAAGTGGATTTAGGTGTCAAACTTGTCTCTGAATCACAGGCACATATATAGAACTGAATAGTTCATTTGTTTGTAACAATATGAGCTATGTATTCAGATAATAAACAATGTGTTTACTTGTACTAAAATTGAAATATTTATGCAATCTTGTAAAATTGAGAAAACAAATAATAAAACTTATTGTAGATTAAAGACATGTCCTCCTTTGTGCAACACTTGGATTGCATAGAAAGTATAATCCCCCACCCATACCCTTGTGTATGAAATATCTGTACTTGCACACAGCTTGAGCTGAGCACAGGAGCTCTTCAAAGGTATGAAATAATAATATTAAAACTGTGAATGCAGGCAAAACATGTTCACTTGGATGTGCAGAGGGTTGCTGTCAGATGCCTTGGCCTTTTTGGAATATTAGAGAATAAGCCAAGTGAGGAACTAGTAAAGCAGTTGAGGCTCTCTTTTGCTAAGGCCCTCCCTACAATTAGCATAATGGCCTGTAAGGCTTTATTTGATCTCGGGATGTGGCATGGTCTGCCGGAAGTTGACAAGGCCATCGGGCAGGATCTTTCATTCCAACCTCAAGCTGATAAGATGACTTTTACTCCTATAAACCTTTCAGAAACAGATGGGGATTTGAATATTGAATTACTTGACCTCTTATACTCCGGACTTGAGACAAGTGATTGGGGAAAATCTTTAGAAGGTGATGAAACTGAGTCAATTCAAGCTGTTCTTGGAGAGGGGTTTGCAAAAATTCTTCTTCTCAGTGAGAAGTATCCTAGTATACCAGCTGCTTTACATCATTTGATCTTAGCGAAGCTCATCAACCTGTATTTCAGCAATGAATCAAAAGATCTGCAGAGGTGGATATCTGTGTGTTCCTTTTGCATTCCCTCTTTTCATCTATATAAGAATAATCTTTGAACTTTAATTCTCTTGTGAATCTGAGCAGGTTGAAACAGTGTCTATCTATTTTCTTTGAGCATTATGCTTCCCTCTCAGCAAATCACAAGGTAAGCAGAAAAATGCTCACAGTGAAAACAGACTATGTCCTTTATCCTTTTTGTTTTTTGGGCTGAGCAAAAAAGCTTGGATATCTTTGTATGTTAGCTGTATAAATTTTCTTTAATTTGGAAGTGCAGAAATGTTTGTCTGAGGCTTTTGTGCCAGTCATGCATTCAATGTGGCCAGGCATCTATGGAAATGCAGGAGGTTCTTCAATTGTGGTGTCTAATAAGCGTAAGCGAGCAGTCCAAGCATCAAAATTCATGCTGCAGATGATGCAGGCTCCCTTATATGCGAAAGAAAAAGAAGTGGAGGGTGAAAATGGTAGTAGGGAAACGTCAGAGACCTTAGATAGCAAGGAACCTTCACTGCAGTGTGGGGAGGAGGGGCTTGCAATACGCATAGCATCAGAGGTAATTGTTTTTAATTAATAGATTGAGCTTATATGTTGGACCATGAAGGATAGTGAAAAGTAAATGTCAATTGTCATGACTTTGCTGATTATGCCACTGTGTCAAGCTCCAACTATAAATGTTTCTTCTTAATGCTGAATTCCTTTATTTACCAATTTTTTGTTGTTTGTGAACAAAACGTACTTACTTTTGAACTACCAGAAAGATTCTTCAACAGTTTTTGAGATTAGAAAATTATAGTGCGTGTTATAGCAGTTAATGTTAGTTACTGTGAGGGGATTGACCCTTATACTTCTTGTTCTGTTGCAGTGATCTCTCATTAAGTGTTAAATTTTCTGTAATGAAGTGCTAAATTGCAGGATGAACATATTGAAAGTTACTGAATCTCTTTCAGCTCACTCAAAGGTTCAGAACCAGTTAGCTGGTTCTCCCATACCTTCCACCTTTTCCTTAACTTCTCCATAAACATGTTTTACACCAATAAATTATTTGTATTATCACAAGCATGGCTTAATTTCTGTCAATATCAAGTTGTGTCCATTAAAATCTCTTGAACCATTGAAACTTGAGGTTTCACAATGATATGCAATCTTTTTCTCTCTGGTCAAATGCTTATTTGAATAATATTGTTTAATTTCCATGTAGCTGATCCACAAAGAAGTAATGCACCCTGTGATTGTTTATTATGTTTAGCAATGTATGTATAACACATGCATATACCATATACATGTTTATTTGTAAATAATACCTAAATATATGCAAATGGGATCTATGTGCCTGTATATATATTAATATATACCAGTTCATTCAGTACAGTTCCAATTGAGATAATGTATCTGTTTGAAATCTTATTGAAATTATCAAGATCTTTTCCCAGTTTCTGAAAGGGAAAGGACATTGGATAACTAGTGTATCATATCCTACTTTGTTGAACCAAGGACCCAAGTTCTGTCAAGGATAAGCATATTGTTAGCTATATGGATAGTAATTACAATTTATATTCTAAGAATATCTTTAATATATACTTTTGCTCCGATGTTACTGGTCTTAAGCTTACTAATTTTTTATTCCTATGATTTTTTAGGTCCTGAGCTTCCATATGAAAAAGACACCTGCTGAGCGGTCATATGTTTCAGCCCTGTGTAGAATACTAGTCTTACTCCATTTCCGGTTATTAGAGCAAGGGGCAATAAAGTTAATGAGGAAGCTTTTGAGTCGTGTGTTTGAATCTGTATCAGCTGAAAAAGATCTTGTAAAGGAGTTGAAGCAGATGGCTGAACGTCTTAAGGGACTAGAGAGACATCCAGATGAGGAACTTTCACAAGATGAAGCTAATAATATTTTCGGTAAATATATCCCCTTTCAGAAACGATATTTCAGTAATTGACATTGCATTCATATTGCAATGTCTAATAAACACATGCATCACTTATAATAATTCAATGATAATGAAAAAAATAGATAAAGAAGAGGTTGAGTTGAATGTGTATACTTGATTGTTTCATAAGTTCCCATGCATAGTTTTTTGATCGCATGCATTAGTTTATTAAACTGAAAATGATCTCTGCATTCTAGTTGAATATGGAGGCATTAAAATTTTTATGTGTTGATCATTGTTTCACTAACAAAGTGGATCATTCTCTTTGATGGTGTTTCAACTCTTGAAAAATGTGTTTAGGGTCACATTGTGACTTTTGCCATCCTCATGGATTGTGTAGGGAGTTTAGGCATAGACTTCAATCTGGATGCCAGTGCTCCTGCTGCAGTGCCACAAACCCCAGCTCCATGCTCAACCAGACCAACCCGTTCAAGAAGACGAGTAAAGCGCGAACAGACTTCTTCTGATGAAGAAGACTCTCATGCTTCAATTCAATCCATGGTTCCTAACATTCCCGGAGCTACAAGCACCCGCTCACAGAGGGCAAGCAAGACTGCAGCAATGACCAAGATGACTGCCAAAACGGATCGCATCAGGATAGAAGAAGATGATGAAGAGGAAAGCTCAGAGTCAGAGGTAACCTCCAACGACGATTCTGATCAGTTCTCCGAATAACTGCAGTACGTACAATCTGTTAAGCTGTAATATGTTGTTGTATGGTCATTCCTTGTAATTAGATAATACTAAATGTGAACATGTATGGATAGGGTTGGGGAAAATTCATGTTATCGGTTGAATCAACCGAAATTTATTCAGTTTTTGTGCGTATCATAGTAGTTCACCTGTCATTGTTATCATCTGTCTCTTTCTGTCATTGTAGGTTGGGTTTTGTCTATAATAAATAGTGTAGCTGAATTACGGTTATAATTTTAAATGATATTGTAGCAAATGTGGACCATTTAATATAGTGTTTTTGAGCCATATAATTGAATGGTATAAAATCTAAAAATCATCTAACTTATGGTAGTCATCTTTTATTTTTATTATCTAAACTTGTGAGCATTGTTTTAAAACCTAGTCTGGATTGATTAGTTGAATCTATTCAACCAAAACTTGGGGTTTTCATCGGATTTACCAATTTTACTATTTATAGAAAACCTTAAAAATTAAGACGATGATCGATAAACAATTAAAGATTATGTTGGAAGTTTTAAAGAGGAAGGACCGATGAATGAAGAGGTGATGATGGAGGTAATTTCTGATCAGTGAATCGATCGAAAATCGTAAAAATTAATCAACAAGAAGAGTGAATTGTTATTGATGATTGGCAAGATGAATTGTGATATTAGTTTTGGTCATGAGGTTAAAAGGAGTGTTTTTATAGGAACGGAGAGTGTTGTCATCGAAAATAGCCTTATTTGCCTTGAGATTGTCAAACAGTGGTGTTTAAAGTGTTTTTGCAAGATTTTATATTTACTTTTTAGGGATGTTTTTATCGGATTTCAACCCGGCCACTTTGCCGGGTTTCACTCCTGTTGGTTATTAAAACACTGATGGTGATGTGAGTCGTGATATAACATCAAGAATATCCGTAATCATATTCCTGGCTATAGGACAGACGAAACAAGAAAAGAAGAAAAACATAAAGGAGAAACAGATAGAAAAGAGGAGAAAAGATAATATCAAAGAATGGAGTGATTTAAGGAGAATTTCATCATTTCTCACGGTACCCTTCTTTCACTAGAAAATATATGTTCCTTTTTCATATAAAACTAACTTAATCATTACTTTAATTTAATCAGAAATCAGACTGATAATATGATGATTAACAGTAACCCTAATTTATGAATCAACCTGCTAATTTTCCTTCATAATAATTCCCAGACATATATAAACAAACAAAACAACAAAAGCTCAAACTGCACTTCTTTATTAACAAAGACTGTCGACATTACAATTCCTACACAGGATCTTCTATGTAAGTTTCAGGATTACAATTCAAAAAGAGTGAAACAAGAAACAAAATTGCAAACATCTTTGATCTTTCCTATAATTCGGAATCTTCAATGTTGTCACAGTTTCTTGTTTGCTTCCATCCCTCTACTACTTCAAGCTAAAGTTTATCCGTCCCAAACGCAATCTCTTTTGTCTTCAACAACATTCTATTTACAATTTTGATTAGCTTCAAAGAATGATGTACTAGTTATTCCTCATTAGGTTGTTGTCGTTGAGACGTTTGTTGCTCTACCAATCTATCCAATGCTTCCTTCATCCACCCATATTGACTTTGACAAGATTTTCTGGCTTCTGCCACACTCATCTGCACAAAAAAATGTGACATAATTATCAGAATTTGTTCATTAAAGATGCTGTTGATTTCGAATGCAGAGTGCAAATGATGGGTGTAAATGTGCATACCCAAGTTCTCTTTCGGACATTTTTCTCCGGCCAGATTTCTAATTGCTCCTTAACAAGTAAAGAAAACATGTGTCCTTCATAATAAGTGTCATGTGATTTGCTCTTGAACTTCCATGTACCTAATTCACACTGCAAATTGCCAAAACAACAACTAATATCAGTAATCAAGTTTCAATATCATGTTCTGTTTTGTGCGCTTAGACGCAAAATTTATAGTAAGAATCATCTCTAAATCACCAGAAATAAAAACTTATAAAAAGTGAACTAACCTCTACAATTCCGGTTACCCCGGCTTCCTCCACAGTTTCTCTTAAAGCCGCTTGTTTTATAGATTCATCAATCTCCCAACCTCCCTGTAAATTAAACATGAGTTATATCATCGTGCTGATTCATTTTCAGAATAAAAACAACAGGAGCATCATCTTGACAAAATAAATATAATATACCTTAGGGAAGAGCATCCCTTTGCCCTTTTGGGAACTGATGAGAAGAACTTCTATGTCTTCCTCATCAATCTCAAGCTCATTTTGCTTAATCCCTTTATATCTATATGGTATACATCTGCAGAAGGATAAATAATCTGTGAGTCTCTAACATTTTCTTATCATTTTCACGAAGATAAGCTAAATGACTTTCCCACCACCTCCCAAACACACTGTTTCAATACCGAATAAAAATATCACAAAGTCAAGTCAGCGCGTAGGCTAGTGGCAATTGCACACCCAACACCGCATATGCCTTAGCACCTTCTCAACTAAAAACGTAACTTTTTACATATAAAAAGGAAAAAAAACAAAAAAAAAGTTACAAAATTACTCCATTATCAAACTAATATTACAAGTTTTCAACCCAAGCTATGAGATTTCGAAGAAAACAGGTAAAGACTTCCCTCAAAAACTTATAACTTCAGATGAATTTGTGACAAAATATGTTTCCAATATTAGAATTTAGAACTACCCACATAGAAAAACAAAAACTTTGAGCGACAGAGACACTAACCCGACAACTTGGCGAAAACCCTTCTGACAATAACGTTGTAAATGTCTTCCGGTCCGGGAAACCAAAGGAACAGCAGGTTCTTTAGCAACTAAAGCCACCATGTTTTGTTTTGTTTAGTATTGCAATAGGTAGAAAGGAGAAATACTTAATAGAGAAAGAAAAAAGCAGTTATGTTAGGTTGTGGTGTAATGAAGAAATGAAAGCAAGAGCTGCGCCTTTAATAATAATTGAAGGAGAGATGGATTGGAGATGGAGGGGAAAGCAGATAGAGGTTAAAGAAGGTGGGGCCAATTGCAGGGAAGAGGGTAAGAGTGATAGCTTGCTACTTGATAGAACGTGTCGCTGACGCGTCACGTGACCCTTTTCTTGTTTTTATAAACTTGAGAAAGAGCGTGTGGACACCCTCACACGCATGCAAGTGTTTTGTTTTTTCTTCCTTTCTTTCATTTTTTCAGGCTCAAGTTAAGAAAGCTAGGGCTACACCCCTACTTTATTTAATTTTATCAATAAATAATAATTTCCTTATTTAGCTTTAAAATATTAATATAGTTTTGCCTTCTAGAATTTTACAATGGTTTCATTATATAATTGATAACTAATGTGTAAGAATTTTGAAAATCTTGGATGAAATAGGATATGTACACGAAGCGGTTGTTTTTTTTTTTTTTTTTTGTTTTTAATGGATAGAGATATCCGAATTAGTTTATATACACTTCAATTAATCTTCTAAAATTTTAGAACTATCTGCTAAGTAAGAGTTCTAATAATCATTCTTATTAGCAACAAAATAAGAACTTAAATTTAAAACCTCTTAAATAATACATGTAGAACCACTAAGGCTTCGTTTGGTTCGCTTTTGGGAATACTATTATTAGTATTCCCAAAAAAGTTAAACAGTAAAATTTCATTATTCTCAAAATATTATTTTATATTTTTCAATTTCTTTTAAATCTCCTAAATTTGTTAATTTAACTAACCACTCCCAAATATTTTTTTAGAAATTACAAAAACACTCCGGCCACCTTCCAGCAGTGGTGGCCGGTTGTCCATATTTAATGGGTGGGTTGAAGGTGTTTTTGTTAACTTTTAATATTTTATTATAGGGGTGTTTAGTAAATAAACAAACATATGAGATATTTTTGTTAATTTCTAAATCCTATATTGTAATACCCGTCCAATTTAACTTTTTTAAAAAGATTATTCTAAAAACTATCTGAATAATGAATCAAACGGAGCCTAAACCACTTAAAAATTGATTTTTTTGGATATTAGAGAAGCCCAAAAACATCCCTATCGAAATATAAGATTCAAATAATTTTAATTATACAGTATTTGTGGAATATTGGGAAAATAACCTTATCAAAGTGTTGATAACTCAAAGAAAGACAAAAACAAAAACAGAAAGCCTTCCACATCAATCTAAGAAATGATTAAACAGAAAGCCAAAAATCTCACCTTTTATCGATGAGAAAACAATGGGAAGAAGCAATCCCTTTCTGTGTACAGCCTGATCTTAGCTAAACTATGTGCTTTACTTTATCATCTTCATCTACTTTCCCAAAAATCAGTAAAAATCTAGTAACTTACTTCAGGATTATAACTGACTTCACGTGTATTTTCCACAATAACCTTTCTTCCTTTTTAATCAATAATACAATAATCTTATTCATACAATATTTATATTCTAATTTTGAATTTGAGTGACATAATTATTGATAACTTTACATTATATTAATTTTATTATTTTTTTTAATTAATATAATATTGATACATGATCAATATTATTCACTTTATATCATATCATTTTATACCAAAAAAAAAAAAATTTATTATTATTATTCATTTTATATATATATATATATATATATATGATATTACTATATACAAAATAAATTACTATATAATATCACTCTTAATTATAGTACTCTCCCAAAGTTTAGGAGGATCGTCGTATAAAATAAAGTTAAATAAGATCATTTGTGATACTTAACTTATCTCTATTATCATTATTGTTAATTTTATAACTTTAGCTTTTGTAATATGAATATATTGATAGCTTTTTTATGTGAAAGAAATCATTATGCCTAACCTCTTTTTATTTGTCTTTTGAAATCATTATGTCTAACTTTAAGATATACATTAAACGCGCTATAAACCAAAAATAAATAATTTATATTTGTTGATATTTGATTTTGACACCAACAATTCGCATGTGTAAAGTGTTATGTTGGCTTAGAAATTACACATGAATGGAAAATGCAATAAAATAAATGAAAGATAATTTTCAAAGTGGTTCGGATGCTTAAAACGAATCTTATATTCACTGTTATTCTATTATTATCTGATTATCTATGATATTGTCCGTACAACATACAAAGATGGAGAAAAACTTTGTTTATAGAGAAAAATAATAAAGTTCTCATCTGTCCAGCCTTCCATTTCGTGAAAAGATGTGCCCATTTATACTTTTGAGATCAATATAATGAGTGCTTTTGCAAGTTGTCTTGACACATGGAAAACTTGCATTCATCCTAATCTTTTATTTTAATAAAGGTGGGATAGCTCTTATATAATATCTTTGAGGTGTTTTAGGCTTGACAGCTAATACACTTTGTCTTTTAGGTAAAGCTGACATTAGTAAGACTTTTTAGGCACAATAATATTAATGATATTTGTTAACAATAGGGTTATTTAGTAAACCCCTATGTGTTTAGCGTTTTTATGTAAACATCCGTTGGTTTTAGAAATGTCATTCTAATCCTTGTGTATTTAACCTTTTATGTAGTGAGCATATGTTAGTTTTGAAAATGCGACGATAACCTTCATCTTTTATCTAGCATTAGGTTAGTTTGTCTAAGTTTGTAAGGAAATGACCTTTATACCATTCACCTAGATTCAATTAATTTAACATCTAAAATTTGTTAATAATATTGAGAGGTTAATTTTTTTTTAGCAAGTTAAGGCTCCGTTTGTTTATTTTTTTAGAATAGTATTCTATGCTTAATAGGATTTAATCAAATATGATAAGATTATGACAATATGTTTAGTACATTTTTTTAAAAATAATTAGATTATTTTTTAATCCCCTATTAAAAGTTTATAAATTAACAAAAACACCCTCATCCACCAAATAATTGCCAGTAACCGGCCACCATCGCCGAACGGTGGTCGGAAGTCACCAGAATGACTCATGACTAGTTGGATTTGGCCGATTGTGCGTCAGTCTATACTTTTTTGGCCAGATCTACCATTGGTCTAGCTGGAAACGGCTAAAGATCTGGCTATTGACGACAACATATGACGGTCAGATCTTTGGCCGTAGATCTAACTATTTTCGGTCAAATCTATGGTGGATCTGATATGAAACAGACAGATCAGCGCACGGTCGGCCAGATCCAATTGGTCGTGCGTCATTCCAACGACTTTTGACCACCATTTGATGATTGTGGCTGACTGCCTGCAAAAAGTTAGGTGGGTGAGAGTGTTTTTGTTAATTTTAAAGCTTTATTGAGAAAAATAATTGTTAAATGTTTTAAGAATTGAATAATATTGGACTTTGAAAAATATTAAAATAAACTTATTTTTTATTTTTTAACATAAAATAGTAGAATAAGATAGGGCTAAAATAGTAAAACAAGCAGAGCCTAAATTGTTGATGTTTCTAAAATAAGTGAGTGTTTACACTATTAAAAAAAAAAAAAAAAAAGGTTAAACACATAAACTTAGAGTCAATTTTTTGAAACAGAAAAATACGAAACATGCAAGGTTAAAGGTTTATTATAGGGGTGAGCGGTTTCAAGTACCCTACACTTTTCAGGGGAACTAGAACCGGAATCACACAATGCAGGTTTCCAAAAAAAGGAACCGGAACCGGAACCGAAACTGCATAGTGCAGGTTCTTCAATTCAAGAAACCGGAACGTAAAATGCAGGTTCCGGTTCCTTTCCCGGGTACCCTATAAAAAATTAATTACCCCCTATTAGTTTAAAAAATGACGAAATACTTTAAAAGTTTACAAATATACCCCTAACAAATTTTGATTATTCATTCATTTGTGTCCAATGTAGCTCATAACCTGTAATCTCTAGACAACACTTGAATTCAATCAATTAATATGCCGTGAAGAATCAACACTTGAAGTTCCAGAAAAGTAGAAAACACAAGAGAAGAAGACGGCAGAGAGAATGGAGAAGAACCAGAAAAGTAGACAACACAGAAAAGAAGATGGCAGAGTCGTAGAGAGAATGGAAAAGAAGAGATGTCAATTTGAGATACCCTAATCGATTTGGGTATTTTGCTTTGTTTGTAAATGTAAAATTACAAAGATACGCCATTATTTATACTAATTTACTAACATTGCCAGGGGTCTATTTGATAAATTAATAAATTATTAATGTTTATAAATTTATTAATTTAATGTTATAATTGGCCAATTGGGTATTTATAATATACTAAATATAATTTAGTAAATTTACTATTGATAAATTAGTAATATTTAAATGTAATATAGTAATGTTATAATTAATAAGTGATCATACTATAATGTAATGTTATAAATATTATAATTATTTAAGTAGTTATTTAACAATAATGTAATATTATATCAATTAAATTTCTAATAATTTAATTAATTTCTTATGTTAATGTTTATTATAATGCATATTAATTAAGTAATTATTTAATTGTGTAGTTATAATTAATTAAGTGATCATACTACAATGTAAATTATAATGTTATAATTAATTAAGTAATATACATTTAATTATAATGTAATATTATAATTAATTAAATTGTTAATCATTTAATTAAGTATTGTAATATTGTTTATAATAGATGTTATAATTAATTAAGTAATCATACTATAAATTTATAATGTAATGTTATATTAATAAAATTATAATCATTAATTAAGTATGTGTAAATTAGTAAATTATTAATGTTTATAATTTAATGTCATAATCAATTAAGTAATCATTTAATATTTTAATTATGTAAGTTATATTAATATATGATCATACTATAATAGATAAATGTAATGTTAATATGTTATAATGAATTAAGTAATCATACTAAATCTATAATTTAATATATAATTAATTAAATTTAATCATTAATTAATATACTAATGTTTTAATGGAATGTTATAATTGATTAAGTAATATATTATAAAATATAAGGTAAGTTTATAATTAATTAAATTTTTAATGGTTAATTAAGT